TAGTTCTGGCCGCTGGTGGTGCTGAGGATGCCCGCGGATGCCTGTTTTCTCGTGGAAAAACTTAGCAAGGAGGGGTCTGTCCGCATGTCTTCCTGCCTTGCTCAGTCCTGTGTGCATCTAGCATCGTTTGGGGAGAGGTGACTTTGTTCAGGGGCATAATTACATAGAGAGAAAGCTGGGTTGGAGGAGAAGGTGTGGTGAAGGACACACTCAGCTCTTCATAACATGTAGTAACTACCTCCAAGTGGGAGATTTAAGGAGTGGTTGCAAGGAAATGTGCCCCTCTTGCTCTCCAGGAAGAGATCCATGCCAGGGCATGGTGGGAATCCAGGCGGGATAATGACTGTGGGCTTCAAATCTCCTTCATGTCTTCAGAGGATACGCGGAGATAGGGTGCTGCTAAGTCTGTCCTGTGGGAAATATTCCAAGCGCTGGTGAAGAGGTGGTTTGGCTTGGCAGCCTCCTTGCTGTCTTAACCATTAGTTAATCTCTTAACAGTCAGTAAGCATTTCATAAAGTAGGGCCTTTCACATTCTGGCTGAGGACTGTGCGCTTACAAAAGTGAAGGCAGCCTGAAGTAGAGCTCTCTCTAGTTAAAAACTTGCACAAATTTGGCCTGAGACCAAAGTGACTAAAATTGGATTGTGGACAAAATATTTATGGAATAAAAGATGCTCTATTGGTCTTATACTTAAGTGGGATTATAGTTACCTGAAGAAGTCACAGTAAAGCCTAAACCTAGGTTTATGATTTGAGCATTTATATTTGCCGTCAGTGCTAACACTGACACTGAAATTATGAGCTGCACACAGTGACTAGCGAGTCAGCTCGGGGAAGTTTTCCAGTCTAATATACCCTTCAGGTTATTTCTGAGTAATGGGATTGCCGGAAACGGCTTTCCGTTAACGAGCAAAGCTGAGGGGTGACACCTCATCTTGCGTGTAAAGCGTGCCACGTTGCCATGTCTGCCCCGCACGCATCTGTGCCTGCAAGAGGAGGGGAAGCCTGTGCTGTGCGGGGGCGCGTGCTCATCGAGCCCCCGCAGCAGCGGAGGCAGAGGAGGGGTGTTGCCTGGGGGCCCAACTCGTTTCTGTGGTACCTTCCTGCGACAGAAGGGCGGCAGCAGGCCTGGGGCGCCACGCGGGGGTGGCTTATCTGGCACTCGCTGGCAGCACAATCTGCCGCCTCCACCCCCCCAAAACAGGCACGCCTTGGAGGGAGGGGGGCGCCCCTGCATGAGGGAGCACCCGGGCCCAAAATAGCCTGTGTTCTGAGGTGACACAGGGCTAGAGAGCAGCCTGCCGCTCGATGCGGCGCTGAGCACGGGCACAGCTGTAAAGCAGCGAGGTGGGGTTCGTGGCTGATGTGGTGTGCGCTGGCCAGGCCACCGCAGCCATTGGCCCCACAGCAAGCGGGGCTTGGCGGGCCAGTGTGGACACAGGCCAAGCAGCTGTGCAGCTCTTGACCCAAACGGGCTGAGCAGATGTGCTAAAAAAGGAGAAAGCTGGGAAGCAGGGCTGTGGGAGGGACTTACTCAAAAATGTAAACAAATTCGCAATTAGTTAAGGGGATCTCCCCACGCATTTTTTTTTCCCAGTCAGCCAACCAACCAATCAAACAGGACTAGTTGTTTTATTAGTGTTACCTAAAAAGTACTTTCTTTTTTTAAAAAAACAAAATGTTTTGAGCCAATCTAGACAATCCCTTATGGTCTTTGTTCCTGTGGCAAGTTGATATTTCTGAATTAAGTGTGATGTTGCTACAGTGCAGCCATTGAGACCTGCTGTCTGTCTAGCCTCGAAGGGCTGTGGTTATTCTATGCTGGATTAGACCCAGTTTCAGCCTGCATTATATTTGAAGTCACATAGAAGTGCTTGTTTCATGTATAATCCCACGCTTTATCTTTGGGATGGCAGTTTATGCTGAGTTGCCCTGGATTTGTAATATTCTTATTCATGTGCAGTATGAGATTTAAATGTAATTGCTGATATGTGAGCTATCTACATGCATGTGTGTATATATATATATATATACACATGAATAACTATTTTCTTACATCTGAGGATTTCAGTAACATTCCAAGGGCATGATTCACTTCCTCTTCTGAAACTCCAGCTATTGGCATGGAGGGTGTGGAGCTTGCCAGGACAGGCTGAAGAGTAGGCGGACCTGTCCAGGAAGGAGCTGGGCCACACGACTGTCCGGTACATATGCTGAATCACTGAAACTCATGAGTTATTTAATCCACTTCTTTCCTGAATGTTTCAAACTGCTCATCCAAGTCCTAGTGAGCTCTGACTAAATTTTGTGTCCCAGCAAGGAGTCCCTTGCCGAACACAGCTGCAGTCACAGGCAAGAGAGGACCAAAACAGACCGAGACAGGTCTTTGGTCTGTTAACACTGCGTGGTCTCTGCAGTTCTGGGTGGCTGTGTCTAGGTGACCTGCTCATGGCGTTGCGCATTGTCAGGACGCCAGCAGGTGATGCCTGATGGGCAGAGAAGTAGCTCTCCACCAGCTCGGTCATTCTGCAGCGTTGGGTTGGGGGCCCATGTCGTCATAATTTATGAAGTGCCCTCTAGCTAGTGCTGCATTAAAACCTGCAGGAGAGCTGAGCGAGTGTTTCTGCATCTCTTGTTCTTGATTCCTATTCTTAGAACTCATCAAAAGCCTGTTGCCTTGCCTCTCCCCCCACAACAGGTCCAAAGAAGACAAAAAGACTGTTACTGTAATTTCCATTTTGAAATGTACTTTGTTGGAAATTTTATCCTCTTGATGAAACAATGATTACTCTCTGATTCTATGGTGGTGTTTTAGACTTTATTAATAAATCATGCTTACCACTTTTCATTTAGAAAGCATTTTACAGACATAATTAATTAAGCCTTACGGTATCCTTATGGGATAAGTAAGTATTCCATTTTTTAAAATAGTAAAACTCAGACAAATTGGATATCTTCCTTTGTCAAGTCAATGGAAAGACCAGGATTAGAATTTAAAACTTCCTTCTATCTTGGTATGTGCTTAAGAGATGAGACTATCCATCTTTTTCTTATTTCGTTGTGATCCCCGAATTACTAGATGTGATTCTGTGCCCTATAATATGCAGTGTGTTAAAGAAGACTATTTTCTGCTTAAAAATTATTAGTCCATTTAACATAAAATGTTAATATCTGTCTGGAGCCATCAGCTCTGTGACCCAATGTCATTCAGTAGTAATAGTACTGTACAATGCCTAGTAAGGGCTTCAGTCACCCCATGCAAGGCACTTGTCCAGAAAGAAAATGAAAGGCACTCTTTGGGCTTTGACTTGTAATCTACACATCTAAAAGGCCTGTGAGAGGAAAGAGCATTAAAAAAAAAAAGTTGCTTTCAAGGTACCCAAATTCATGAAGGATGGGTCAAAAGATGCTCAGATAAGAAATCAGTTTGTTTCTTGCTTCCGAAAGTGCTCCTAGACATAATAAGGAGAAAAGATACCATTTAAAATATGAAACAGATGTTCTTTTTACAATATTCTAAATTTGCGAGATGCTGAGGACTTGGAACATTTTTCACTTCAGATGATACAACATCACACCCTTTGACAAAAGTGTAATTAATGAATCTAAGTTAATATTTGCCAGTGCAACTTCCTGACGAATGTCATCTGCTTCAATTTCAGCCCGGAGTGGGTAGAGACAGCGTGTTATGATACCTGATCCTGGGTTGGGAACACTTGGTTGGGAGGCACAAATACTGCATTATTTTTGTATTAGTGCAATAACTACAGTTAAACCTACTCAGATACTTCACAGTGATGTCTAGATATCAATCTTCTAACAAATCCATGATGAATTATTATATTTGTTCTTATATATTGTTATATTGTTCTTGCAGACTTCAATAGGTAATAATGCAGATATTTTCAGATGATCTAGATTTAAAAGGAACTGTAAAACCTTTTTTTTCTTTCATTACCATTGTTTTTTGTGTGCACCATGTTTGTCTCCCTGTTGTCAAAGGATGTGTAGATTTTAAGATATTTCAGGGAAAGCACATCTACTGCTGTCTATATGGGTATGTATATATATACACACACACACACACACACACATAAATATATAGCAATATATATTGCACCCGAGAAACTCATGTCCCTTTATGTGTGGCCATAGATATCATCCGCATCAACATTGCTGGTATGGTTAATCACAATTAAATTTGGTAGTTTTATTTTGAGATGAGTTGGTTAGTTAGACACCTACATAATATTCCAGCAGTTAATATATCTCTGCTAGTCAGATTCTAGAATTTCCTTAACTTTATGTTTCCTCTTCTATGCTAGTTTTCTTCATGCTTAGATTTGGTCTCTTCTGATTAATTTAAACTGAGTGCAGCTGGAGAGGAGCTGGAGGGAATGGGTTAGTTGCGGTACATAGTTTGTTTTATAGAAACACAATACCAAAACCGAGCCTGTGCCTCTTTACTTTTCCTCTCCCTTTAATGAAGCTTACTGCTTTTAATTATAGCTTGCAGAGACACAGTGCTGAGATGAATTACTTAATCTCTGTGTAAGGACTGGGTTCTGGTTTCTTAATTGGCACCTGAATGTTTGACAACTTGGCAAAAAAACAAAGCTAAGAGTGGGCATGTGGTATAACATGTATATCAGATGTATGGTGTACAATGTATTTCTATTCTCTCATGCTCTAAAGCTTTTAAGAACTAGGAGTGAACATTGCATGTCCTCACAATATAAAAATTTTACTCAGTCGTGACACAGTTTGCAAAAGTTTGAAGCTCCCAGACCAAAGCAAATTATCCTGTTCTTGAGATGATCAGCCAAAAGGAAGGGAAAAAAAAAAAAAAGTCAGGTGTCCTCAGCATTTTCCAGGTGAGATGAAAGTTAGTTTGGAAATGTGCTCTACTAAAATTGAACTTACTTTTCCAGTAGTTGGGAGGAGCTCCTAAATTACAGTACCCCACCCATATCTGCTTGCTTTTGGTTTACCCTGGGAGACACTACAAGGAAGCAGGAAAAGACAGGAAAACACAGCAGCAGAATGAAGAGAGAGCATGGAAGACAGGCCTAGAAGACCAAAGCATAAAGCAGAGTTCTCCCAGCAGGTAACCCTCACTCTGAGTTCTGCTCTTGTACCTTAACGAGGACCTGCAAGCACATAGCAATGGGTGCTGTTTTTTGTCTCTTTCTTTCTTAAAGAAAATTATTTTGGGAGGAAAATGCTTGGTTTTCCATGTTTGTTTTTACATGATGAATTGAAATCTGGAGAATACTGACCTACTGACATTATAGGCATGAATAGCTTCTTGTTGGCTTTATGTTGGCATAGCTTCCCATTTTGTTTATAAAACGTCTTTTTTATACCCCATTTTTGAAATTAAATTGTTAGTATGGTTTTTAGGGAATGTCACTGGTATTCTACTCTCTGGTGTTTCTCATACTGTCCAAAAGGGAGGTAATTATGTGTCATCTATGAGGCATTCCTAATATGGCATCACGCCCCTTCAGGGTCTTTCTTCAGTCATATGTATATGAGGCCTGGAAAAATCATGTCCTCACGTGGTTGCATTTGAGCGTTTGCGTCATGGCAGTAACAGAGCTGTACTTTTCTGTCCCTTCTTGGGCCATGGCCAGGGAGTGATGTGGGCATGAGACTGTCAGAAATGCTAGATTTGCAGAGCAAGGCTGCAAAGATATTTTGCTAGCTTGTAAAAGTCACTACTGAAAAAATCGATTGATGCTGATCATTTTTTCCCCCTGTTGATGTTCTTTTGTAGGAGGAAGTTACAGAAATGTTTTTTTCAGAAGCCTTCATGCCCCTAGACCTGTGTCTCAAACCTGCAGAGATGGGCATTGCAGCAGAGGTGTGTTCACATGTGGGGCTCTTAACCAAGATTCCTAAGTATTCCAGGTTGCTGGGGTGTAGGAGGGGGCTAACCTTCCTGGCCCTCTGAGCCCCCTACCAAAATGTGCCCCTGCCAGGCAGCTGGTTCATACTTCAGTGAACCCCACGAGAAGCGTGAGGCGTTGTTGGCAGCAGGAGGTGACAGTGGCTCCCAGGAATGCTGGCTGTACATTGTGGGTCAGGCCTAGGCTGAAGGGTGTCATTTCGAGGTAGAAAGAAGTGTAATGTAAAAGTCGGTAGCACCCTCTCGACGTGATGATTTATTGTGCAAAAGCACAGCCCCCAAAGAAAACAACCTTACTTTGTTGTCTTTTGTCACTTCTGTCTCAAATGGCATTTCTCCTCTGCCTCTGTCATGAGAGCAGAGCTCTGTGCTCAGCAGGCACAGCCCAGGGTGTGCCAGCTGATGGTCTCCGCTCTAGCTGCCTAGACCGTGGCATGGATTTTAACTAATCATTTGTATGTGTTAAGTATTACTACCAGGAGTTCATGTACCAGAACTGGAGTCAGTCCCCACAGAACATAAGATTTGCCAAAATCATGCAATGTCCCCCGCTTTTTTTTTTTTTTTTTGCATTCTCATTTATCTTCTGCTGCTTGTTTGTTTGTTTTGGTGGGTTTTGAGCTAGTAGGGGATCAAGTGTGTCCCTGCAAGCACAATTGCCTTAGAATTCAAAAACAAAAGAGAGAATATTGTTGTTATCACCTATCTGCATGGCTTCGGGGCTTCTACTGGAACTCCCCAAATATGCTGTATAACTTAAGAGAAAGTATTGTCAGCAACTGGTTCCACTACACCAAGTCACGTAGGAAATCTGGTGTGACCTGACAAATTCTTCAGGACTCCTTTAAAGCAGCTGGGTCCTTGTAAAGTAACTTTGCAGAACCCCTTTCATCAAAGGGAACCACATCTTGCCACATCACTTCCTTGCACACTTTCTTCCGGCTTGTGCCTTTACCAGAAGAGATGTGTGGTCACCTCCTGTCTAGGATCCAGCAACTTCTCATTCTGCCTCTAACACTGACTTCTTCATCACATGAAATTGGGCATGTGGGCATTTTAAAAGCATTTTTTCAGAGCAGTCTCAAATTTGGGGTTCTTGAGCCTGGGTATGCAATTCAAGGTGTATTTAAGGAGGATAAACAAAGAAAAATGAACCAAAAATGTGACACAGTACTGAACCATCTACAAAGCATGCGATTTATAAAGAACATTAGGAAAATAGGGAACTTTTATTTCCATATATGTATATAGAAACCCTCTGTAGTCTCATCAGACTGGAAAGAAATTAAGTGTTCTTTGCTGTCATTTTAAAATACACTGTCTGCCACTCCATCTTCTCTCTTTTCTGCCATCTCTCAGGAGACTACCTTTCTTGAAAGTGTATCCAGGGATTTGGGAGTACTTTTTAAGAGAGATGGGATGTGACAGAATACCTCACAGCTGAATAAGGACCAGACATCAGAATAATATAACTTCATTTCTGAGAACTTACCTGAGTTGTCTTTCAGAAATCAGACTTTCGAAGCTTCAGTGCTGTTTCAAGATGATCTAAGTCTTGTGCTTTCCTAATGAAGAAGCAGGCCTATTTTGAAAACAGCAGGTCTGCAGAATATT